AGTGAGAAAAATCGAAAAAACGAACTACAAACATATTAACGCCAAACATTCGATGGAATTTATAGAATATTGTATATATATATATATATATATATATATATATATATATATATATATATATATATATATTGAATTATATATATATTGGATTTATATATTTATATATATATATATATATATATATATATAGGATTAAGACTGTCAGAAATGCAATTATAGCATGTTCGGCGTTAGTTAACTTTTTATTTAACTGTTCGATTTTTCTAACGGTTGATCGCAAATCATTTTCAAGTTTCTTTAGTTCAAAACAAAATTTTTTTTTTATGCATGATAGAACAGAAAAGCTTTTTTCGGTATTCCTATACCATCTTCGTTGTTCGAATTGTTTAAAAAAGGAATCAACAAAGTAGAGTAGAGGCATAGTACATTTATATTTGTGCATCTTGGCACAAACACAGCATATCAATTAAACGAAAAATAAAAATAAGGCCTCATCTACATGATGAATTCGGATAACAACAGTTTCATTAAATTTTCATGATGAACTTGGATAATTTCTATTTTTAACAAATTGAACAATTTCCAGAATAGTCCACTTAGGAAAATTGAAAAGACAAACTTTAAATTTAAATATTATCACAAACATTTATACAAGCAATGAATATAAAAATTTATCAACTTTATAAAAATTAACTATTTATAATGACAAACATAATTTTTAAAATTTTTAATATATGTTTATATATATAAACACTTTTAAACAAATACAACATTGTTACGCTTAGCCCATCCAAGTGATGGTACTATCATAATAACTTTGAACGATTAACACACATCTAAAGCTGGTACTAAGGAATGACAGATTGTTATAAAACTTTCCATTGTGTGTATATGTATGTGTGTGTGTGTGTGTGTGTGTGTGTGTGTGTGTGTGTGTGTGTGTGTGTGTGTGTGTGTGTGGTGTGGGGTTGCAACCGAACCACATAAATCTCTAACAATATCAATCAATCTAAAAACATTATTATTATTACAAAAAAAACTTCCGTATATAATTTCTTGAATAAAACTCGCAAACAAAAGCCTCCAAACATAAAAACTCAATAAATTTTTATTTGTCATTGATAATTAAATTTTCAAAGTATTATCTTCACTAATCGCGCGAATGCTCCAATGATCGTGCGAATCATCCAAAATTTTATTTTTATTTTCAGGTTAAAATGCAATCGAGAGAATCATCCATCGTCGGGCAAAAGCTTCAGTTACCGAAAAAACAAAATGACAACAAATTCTGTGTACTTAATAAATACATTTTTCTGACAAAAATGTCGAGATCAGTTTTAAAATAAAAAATAAATTTGTTTATAAATAGTGAAGGTAATTATTTTAAAGCGGACAATGAAAATATCAACAGTTAAGTGCCACATAGAGCTGAAACGCCGTTATCCACGTTTTTTGGCACGAAAATAAATTAAAAAAACATTATTAGTAGCACAAATTAGTTCGCATCCACTAAAAATTAAAAACATTGTACGACATAATTGTAAATAAATTTGTCATTATTAAAAACTAAAATCTGTACGTATAATTTTTGATCGCCAAACACACACCAACACGTGATCAAGCAAATCATAGGAAAGAGCAACGCATTGCTAGCTTGACGAAGCTTTTCATTCAGGTGAACGTGCAGTTCATCATTGTGTGAACTGACAACTATCAATATTTATCGGACTGAGTGTTCTTCATTGTATGAACCGACAACTATCAATATTTATTGGGTTAAGTAGTTTTCAATAATGCTTTCTCATTTTTTGGTGCAACAATAAGCACGTCTGGCTAGAATAGCAAACGCTATTATTTATCGTTATTTTAAAATGTTTCAAATACGTTGTGAAAAGAATGAATATGTGTTTGAATAGTTCGAATTGACGAAATACATTATTACACAGCTGAATTAAATGAAGCTCATGCTGTATTAAAGTTACTATAAAAAAACTGACATTGGCACACTAACATTGATGAGTTGTAATTACGTGAACGTTCATTTCATGCTTGGAAGAATTTTTGTAGCGTTTGCACTGCAAGTGCGTTGTTGATTCTTTTATATGAAAAATTCAAACATTAGTCTGGCATGATCTTCTGGTTATTTCTGTTCCGATGTTCTGCATACGTCTTAATAGATAAAAATTTATTCATTTATTTATGTTTCTATAAATATATATATATATATATATATATATATATATATAAATATATATATATATATATATATATATATATATATATATATTATAAGAATAAAGCCCCTTGCCCAAAACTGAAATAACATAACAAAAATAAATCAGAACGAATTCCAATAAAAATTAAAGAGTCAATGTTTAAGATATGTTTAAGATTTATATAAGTTTCTATGAATATATATATATTTACAATATTCTATAAATTCTACCGAATGTTTGGCGTTAATATGTTTGTAGTTCGTTTTTTCGGTTTTTCTTACTAAAGTTTTTTATTAAAACTCAAAATAAACTTATTTTCTGAATTCATGCTGCAAATAAGGCCAAATTTCGATTCCGAATGAATCATCGTCAGTGCAAGTTAGTTTATATAGAAAAATATTCACTTTGTGAAAATGAACTTATATGGAAATTAGGTGTCAGATTTCTTTATTGGCTGGTCCATCTTCGTTGGTTTCCTTTTCTTCAAACATGCTGTGATTTTCATCAATAATTGCATTTCTGACAGTCGTAATCCAATATATATATATTGTAACAGATTGTCGCCACACGGTTAGACCAACAATCGCAAGCCAGTACAGATTGGAGTACATACAAAACCGTTTTGATAACTGCAACTACAGTTTGTGGAAAAACTGGTACAAAACGTCAGCATGAACGGGACACTTGGTAGTGGAATGAAAGTGTACAAAATTTAATAACTGAAAAGAAAGTTGCATACAAACAATGGCAAAAATCAAAGTATAATGATCAAAATGACCATAAAATTTTCCGTGAGAAGAACAACTATACAAAACGTCAAGTTGCACTGGCTCGGACAGATCAGTGCAGAGAGTGGCTCACTAAAAGCAAAGGTGAACAAATGAAATCTCTGTATCGTATAGCAAAACAAGCAAAGCGTACAAAAAAGACAGTTGGTGCCTCATGTAACAAAAATGACAAAAATGAGATGGTTCTTGAACAAGATGAGATCAAGCTGATATATATATATATATATATTTTTTACAATATTCTATAAATTCTACCGAATGTTTGGCGTTGGCGTTCGGTAGAATTTATAGAATATTTTAAAAATTATGGTCTATTACCAACATATATATATATATATATATATATATATATATATATATATAATTATATATATATAATTATATATATATATATATGTTAATGAAATCACATCATGTTTGGAGTTAGTTAGCTTCCAATTTAATTTTTCAATTTATTTATTACCATATTTTATATATATATATTAAATTGAATTTCGAATATAAAATATAAATATATATATTTATATTATTTATATATATTTATATATAAATATATATATATATGCATGTGTGCATGAGTCTGCTGATAAATTTTCATAGTTCTTGACTTTTTAGATGTGTCTTGCAATTATATATATATATATATATATATATATATATATATATATATATATATTATATATATATTAAATTTCAACGATTTATTAGTGTTTATCAACTTGTATTCGAATTTTTCAATTTGGCTTAGAAAATTTTTATCGACAACATTGAGTCTGTTTAAAATTGAAGCTTTATTTTTATTAACAAACATTTTATCAAAATTTTTGCAGATAGATCTATTTCAACGTTAAACCGTCATTGTCAGTGCATTATTTATAAATTTATTAATTAGAATTATAACAGTTTTACTAAAAAACCCTTGGACTAGAAACAGCAAAATTTCTTGCACCGGTAGATAATAAAGCAATGTTAACAGTCATAAGATTTAATGTTAACAGTCATAAGATTTAAATGATCACTTTTCAAGTTGATACCGCTCTTACAAAGTTTATCTAACAAATATTCTGGCAGGAGTCCGTTCACTGCTTTAAACATCAATATGCATACTTTAAAGATCAACCTTTTTTCAACATTTAACCAATGAAGGTCCTTTAATATCTGTGTTACATGATCAAACTTCGAACCTCTCACAACAATCTTAGCAGCCTTATTTTGAATGGATTGGAGAATCGATGTAGACCGTAGAAAAAACTATTACAATAATCCAAACGAGCGTGAATGAATGAAGGTACTAATGTACGTGTAGATGCTTCATCCAAATACTTGCGAATCCGATACAATCTCTGAAGTTGATACGTACGTGATGATGAAATCATATCTAAGTGTTGTTTCATCGACAATCTTGAGTCAAAAATAACACCTAGATTAATGGCCTGTTCACAAAACTTAACATCTTGACCTCCAATATGTAACAAATTTCCAATTCTTCTAAGCTGCTGCCATGTTCCAACCGGTAGGAACTTTGTTTTATTTTCATTTAATTTTAATTTGTTCCTTGACATCCAGTTGTCAACTTCAAACAAACATGCAATCAATCTAGGAGCTTCATTTTTCAAAAATTCAGGTTTACATTTGAGTATAACTTGGATATCATCCTCAAAAGAAATAAATTTTAAGGCCAAATGACTCAACAATTAGCAAAACCTCACATGGGTATAATAAAAACAATATGGGCCCCAAAACTGATTCTTGCGGGACACCTGATGAAACTGTATTAATATCTGACATTTTATTTTTAAAAAAATAACGCCAGTGTTCGACCAAGTAAATAGGATTTAAACCATTCTGCAGGAACTCCATTCACACAATAACCACATGACAATCTATCAATCTATCAAACAGGATCTGGTGATCCACACAGTCAGATGCTGCGCTCATGTCTAATGATATGAGCGACACTTTTTGTTCATCAATAGCGCTGTAAAGCTCAGATAGAACATGGGCAAGTGCCGTTTCTGTGGAACGATGATGTCTATAGCCAGATTGATGTACAAGCATCAGTCCGTGATGGTCTAAATATTTTAGGAACTGAATCGCAACAGAACGTTCAATGATCTTAGAGATAAAACAATATATATGGATATATATATATGTGTGTGTGTGTGTGTGTGTGTGTGTGTGTGTGTGTGTGTGTGTGTGTGTGTGTGTGTGTGTGTGTGTGTTGGTAATAAGACCATAATTTTTACAATATTCTATAAATTCTACCGAATGTTTGGCGTCAACATGTTTGTAGTTCGTTTTTTTCGATTTTTCTCACTAAAGTTTTTTTGGTGAACGTTTAGTTTATTAAAATTCAAAATTAACTTATTTTCCGAATTCATGTTGCAAATAAGGCCATATTTCGATTCCGAATGAATCATCATCAGTGCAGTTGATGTTTATATAGAGAAATATTGACTTTGTCAAAATGAACTTAGATGGAAATTAGGTGTCAGGTTTCTTTATTGGCTGGTCATCTACTTTGGTCTTCTTTTCTTCATCGATAGCATCATATTCTTCTTTGTCACTATTTACAATGCTAGTTTTTATTATTTTCTTCTACATATATATATATATATATATATATATATATGTGTGTGTGTGTGTGTGTGTGTGTGTGTGTGTATAAGCGTGTGTGTGTGTGTGTGTAAGCGTGTGTGTGTGGTTATGCAAGTGTGTGTATGTGCGTGTTAAATTTGCTGAAGAAATTTTAATAATAAATAATAAATTTTAATAGTTATTTGTCTTTGCGGTTTGAAGATGTGTCTTGTGATGATGTGTGTGAGTTGTTTGTAATAATTTGGTTGAATATAATGGCAAAGTGATGATGTTAGTGATTTTTAGCGAGTTATATAAGTTTTTGAAAAAATACGTCATTACCTTTATACCACTATAATAAATTTAAAAAAATAATTGCATTATTTATAACATAATCAACAGTGATGGGCACCTAACTAAATATTGGTAGTAAATCTATAACTGTTTTGCAACTAAAAGTAAGTAGTTTTACTATTACTTGTAAACTTATTTTAGAAAATAGTAAAATAAACTAAAATAAAGTAATTAGGTAAATTTTTCCGAAATAATTTTATATTCACTTTTTGACAGGTAAAATTCTGAATCAGCATTAAAACAAAAGCCATGTTATTTGCTGTTATTTCTGCAAAATAACTCATAGAAATAAATTTAAATATAAAAGAAAAGACAAATATAAAAGCCTTTCTAATAGTAAAATTTATGAAAGATAGTAGCACAATCTAGTTTAAAAAACTTTTAGAAAAATCAAACATATACATTGTTAAATGAAATTTTTAGATTAAAAAAAACACATCAATCATTTTTTACAGTAAATTCAGTAACATTAATATATTGACTTAAAAAGTTTTCATAGTTTACCCAAGTTAAGATTTTATAAATTTTCTTTTATACAAAAATAATTACAGAAAATCTACAATTAAAATATGATAATGAATTATTTTATTATTACTACCTGATCATCTATTATTGCCATTGCTGTACTAGACTATTCAGTTCTCTTGAGAAAGCTGTAGAGGCTCCATTGTTCGTGGCTCCTTCCATTGAGATGCTTGAAAATGGTACCTATGTTTGTGTGTACTTGTGTTTGTGCTGATTCTGTTAACTCTTGATAGATTTGTTGTGTTTAGGAATGCAAAAACAGCACAAGGCACCACCATTTTTGCTACCTTTTTCCTTTTTAGCTGAGCGTCTTGGTAACATATTTGAATTAGATTAGGAGATTGTACATTTCTGTTGTAATTGTAAATATTATTAAATCCAGTCAAAAAATGTCTGTAAATTTAGAAGTAATCATACAGTAAATAATATAAATAGCACATTCTACAACAAATCAAAAAATGTATGCAAAATATTGGTTATTTAATATTTTAAAATCAAAATTGAGAAAAAATCGCAATATTAGCAACGTAAAGCAATAGATGCACAAATACCCGAATTTTCCTGTGAGCAATTTATAACATTATTTAAAATAAAAAACATTTTTTGAATTAAACAACGCAAACTTTAAAGATTGAAAAAAATTGAAAAGCACTAACCACTCGCGCCGTTGTTTTATACGATAAGGTCAGGAAGTCAATTAGAAAACGTGAGTAAAACCAAAAACATGAAATGTGCTTTGCAGTAAAAATATGGAAAACTTAAATTGAAACAAACTGTTCAGTTCAGTTTAAAATTTAAAAAAACATACAAACATATACATATGTGTGTGTTTGTAGGTGATTATGTGTACGTGCGTGTTAATTAACTCCAATCTGCAATCCAGCAGAGTTCGATGCCGGTCCCAAGTCCGGGTAAAGGAGGAGGGTTGACAGGAGCTTGCTACACTGTTTTAAAAACGCTACAAACACGATGGTAAACACAACAGCAAATAATCATACCGGCTCAGTCGTCGCCCGAGACAATAAGGACCGCATTGCAGCTTTGGGGACTAGGAGCTACAATGAAAAGTTTGTTACTGAGTTCCAAAGAGGTAAAATGAAGATAAAATTCACAGTTGGAATTTGGAATGTGAGGTCACTGTGGCAAGCTGGAATATATGCGATGGTAAAAAAAGCTTGGAAGGTTTAGATATGATGTGGTTGGTTTGTGTGAAGTTAGATGGACAGGAAGTGGAGAATTGGAGAAAGGAAAAGTGTTATGGTCAGGCACAGAAACCGAGCATACTCATGAAGAGAAAGCAAGAAGAGCATTAATTGAATACAATCCAGTAAATGACGAGTTGATGTATGCTAGATTCAAAAGATATCCAAGAGATAGTATTGTGATAGTTGCTTATGCGTCAACAACAAATCATTCGGATGATGAAGTTGAAACGTTCCACGAACAACTGGAACAAACATTGAAAACATTACCAAAGAAAGATGTAAAGATCATAGTTGGGGACTGGAATGCTAAAATTGAAAGTGACAACATTGGATTTGAAGAAGTAATGGGAAAATACGGTGTAGGAGATAGAAATGATAGAGGGGAAAGGTTACTAGAGTTTGTGAAGGACCGACGTCACAAACACAAAGAGGCAAAACAACAACAAATGTACTTGGAAGTCACCAGACGGAAAAACAATGAACATGACAGATTTAATATTGATAGAACAGAAATGGATGAAATTTGTCACCCAATGTAAAGTTTTCCCAAGTGCAGAAATTGGTTCAGGTCATCGTCCTGTCTTATGCAACGTCACCATGAAGATAAAACAAAAGCTTAAAATGGTAGAAAGCCTTAGGAAAGTGAGATTCAACACAGAAATGATAAAGCAGAAGATGGAGGATATAAAAAATGAAATCGAACATGAATTGGACTCGGCAGCCAATTACGATATGAAAACAAGAGTTAGCAACCTAGAAAAATTTTTCAAAGCAGCAGGTGAAAGTTGTGAAATCAAAATAAGCGATAAAACATGGAACCTTGTAGAAGAATGAAAAAGTTTGAAAATGACAAAAAGACAGAGTGAAGAAAATAAGATGAAATACAAAGAAGTCTGCCAAAAAATAAAAAAGAGTGCTAGAGCAGATAAAAGGAGATGGATTAACGGTAAATGAGAAAAGGTAGAGACGATGATTGGACAAAACAAGACAAGAGAGACGTACCAGCTGGTTAAATAATTAAAAGGCAAACAGAAAAATATGTCAAGGATTATTAAAGATAAAAACGGAAACATCCTAAAAGTAAGTAAAAAGATTAAGGATAGATGAAAATCGTTCGAGTAAATCTTCCATCGTTCTAGCGAAAAATACATCGGGTGAATGCTCCTGTAACCAACGTTTATAATCAGTTTTTAAGCTTGGATTTCTGTATAACCTGATGATGATGTAAATTTTTATAAAATCTGCATGATTTAAAAAATTTTTAATTAAAAACATTTTCAAAAGTTTGCAACGTTTATAGCAAAACAAAAAAATGGCAAGTGTTTTTTTATTTTTTGAATGAATTCAAATATGAAAAATCTATTGCTTTTATTGTCGCAATCGTAATTAAAACTGTAACATTTTGTAAGCGTTTTCTTTTGCCAGGGCTGATCCTAACAGGAGGGGAAAGAGAATAATGCATATCACTATGCTGTCAGATTGAAAGGGCTGCCAAATGCTTGCGTGTGTGGGTGTATGTATGTTTGCGTGTGTGGGTGTATGTCTGTGTAAGGATTCTCTTTCGTATGTGTGTATATGTACACATCATTATACACACAGTTGTGTATACGTATTTGTACACATCATTAGTGTTGGGCAACCAAGACAGCAAGTCCAGTGGCTCTCGTCCACTTACCATCCATCCATCTATCGTTGTACTTTTTGTATATTTGCATTAATGCGGTCACCGTTAAATGAAGCAAAACAAAACTTGGACAAAATAAAAAACATATAAACGAACAAATAATCTGCAGTGACATTGTTATTAAAATAAAACTCTTCGTGGCATCGCACTTGCAATGTTGTTAATGACATCATCAAAGTTATTTGTTTCCATCGATTCGACCACCTCTCTATCCCCTGCCCATGCCCTCATCGCCCAGCAACGCCAAGTCAGACAAATGCTTCAATCCAAGTGAATCTCTCAAAAAAATAAAAATTGTTTAATTTGTTAAATGAGAGTTCACAAATTGTAATTGACCTATCCTTGAAAGTATTGCTATGGAACTTTTGATGTTAAAAAAAGACTTCTTGCAATTAAAATCGTATAATTGTTAATTAGATTATTTTTTTAGGTACACAACACTTTTTAGAAACAGTTGGGAAATAATAATTCAAGTTCTATCTTGACACCTATTTGGTATCAATAACATATAAATACTATATCCCCATATACCGGCACTTGGGCAGCCGCCATTTCGTCCCTGCGGTATGCTTCTAATGTGCATGTGTTGAGATTGAAATTATCAAATCAAATCGATTGTTAAAGATTTTCAATTATTTTAATTGATAATTTTTTTCGATAATTTTCATTAATATTCATTTTTGTGCCTCTGCAAAAAAGCCACGCTCATTGTACGTACAAAGGAATGGTTTATGGTTTAAGCACGTTATGAAAAGTGCTCAATGTTGATTACTAAATTTTAATAAATATGATGTTGTGCCTGATGTCACGGCACGTTGTTCAGGAAGTTGCAGGCGACATGCGTGAAGTTGCTTCTTGGTCCATTCTAATTCTTCATCCAACATTCTCCCTCACTTTTCCCTCACTTTCTTTCTCTTTCTATTTTTTGTTTCTCTTTCTCGGACTCTTTATTTTTCTTTCGTTATTTTTCCATTCTCATGTTTTTCACTCACAGCTCCATACCAAATCACAGTGCATTCTATTACAAAATGTTTCAACTCAATGGTGGAAAATTTTGTTTGAAAGTTTGATTCCAACTCAAATTGAAATGTAGGTACGTGTTTTAAACGCTGGCTACCAGCTGACAGACGTCGATTGACACTTGTTTTGTTTTTTTGGCAAGTGTTTTGACGCACTCAATATTTCTATCTTAACTCTCCCTTATACTTTAATGACCATAACCATGTTTTGTGCTGATAGAATTGGTCCAGATATCATTTTGGCAGATATCTAATGACATATCTGCACTAAGGATATCTATATCTACACCAATTACAGCTATGCAAATAGTGGTTCTAGGACAAACACTCAACTAACAAAAACTTTCCAAACCAATAACCTCCGGGCAAAGTCTTCAAACAAAAGTTCTTCAAGCCCAAAGAAAACTTCCTGAACAAAAAATAACAGAAAACAAAAATCCTCCGGGAAAAACATCCAAATTGAACATTCGAATGTTTTTTGGCTTTTTGTCTCGTCATCGTGAGCGGTGTTTGCACGAATTGAAATTTTCTCCACGAGATTTATCTTTACAAACTACATCACTGCAAGGACAGGAGCAGACACGTGCAAAGTTTAAACACTAGATATCTATGGAGTTGGTTGTAGTCATTCATTTATATATTAAATATTTGTTCAGCATTGTAAAGTCTAACATTATATTTTATAGTTATTATCAACGTAATAAATTTGTATTTGAAAAAAATCAATCAAATGAAAACTTTATATATATATAAATGTTAGAACGAGTTTGTGTTCACAACTGCTGTTCTAGAGGAGAGGATCCAACAGACCATAAACGAAGATTTGATAGTTTTGTGTTGAAAGAAGTTTATAAACTTAAAATTTTAAAAATCATCACCCCACCAAAATGAGATTTAGCGAAATATCATTTCTGCAGAATCTTGAAAATTCTCACTTCCGCCAGAAAAGTGTGGATCCGCCACTGTATGTTCACATTTGCCGATCATTCTGCTCATATTCATATTTGTAGCACCAGCGTTGATGCAATCACACAAAATTCTCAGCATGCAGTATGATATAAAACCCATGTAATTGGTTTATCCAAGCAGGGAAAGGCAGTTATACATGAGTGGGATTAAAAGTTCTGATGTGTGGCAGAATTCATTTCTTCTGCAACTTCGTATTTTTTTCCGTGTCTCTGCGTTCATCTGCTGGTTATTTCAATGGTTGGATTGATGGATGGATGGATGGATGGATGGATGGATGAATGGATGGATGGATGGATGATTTAATAATAAAAATTAATTATTATCATTATCGTCATTGTTGTTCAAAAAGCTATTATATAAAATTTTTGTGATTGTTATTACTGTTGTTGTTGTGTTGTTTTGTCATCGTTGTAGTTGTAGTTTTTGTAGTTGTTGTTGTTGTGTTTTTCTTGCTCTTGTTGTTGTTGAATAAATCATTACAGCTATCACTCAAGTAATCACTGGTCAATTTATATTCAGAATTTTTCATTTCTATTATAATCATTGTCACAAAATCAAAATCATCATCATCACCATCATCATCACCACCACCGTTATCATCATCATCATCATAGTAATCACATCCTCATCAAATGTTAAACGGCAGAGGTTTGTCAGCATGAACGTTTCTCGTTATTGGTTGTTCAATGTTAAATTCTTCATAATTATTCAGCTGGCTAGAGTTGGAATAGTGAATTAGATTTTAAAATTAATAGTCAAATGTTGATCAAGTAAATTTTCTGAATTAGGGTGAATATTTTTGATGATATTTAGGCTTTAATTTCTGACATCGTTTTACATCATCACGTCGGTTATCAGCATCATCTTATTATCCGAACATCAGAACATCACATACAGCTTTAAACACAATCAGAGCAGCAACATTCAATCATGCAGGCTACTAACTAACTCAATTCCAATTCATTATTCTCTGAATAGAAGCACTAATGCATTGGCCCAACAGAGCCACATGATTACACATCAACAATTTTCATGTCATCATTCCAGCTAATATTGATAAATCATTTCGTGCTAATGTTGATAAATGACTTGTTCTGACTTCGATATTCTATTAAATCGTGCGCGAATATATATTACGTTGTATTATGCACGTGCAAATGTAAAGCCTATTTGGAGCAAATTTGTCATTCACACGTGACGAAACATGCGGAAACTACTACTGCAGCCTTTCAGCACAATAAAAAATGTTGTTTGTAACAGAACAAAACTTTATTTTTGCATTTAAAATTTATTTATTTATTAGTTTAGTGATTTATTCATTGGATAATATGTTAATAATTGATAAGATGTTTCCTCTTTTTTTTATTAGATGCAACGTAAGTGACGCTTGGCAAATAATCTACTGAAAAGGTTTCAAATCTTTAACGTGCTTATAAACATGTCCTTGAATTAACTGTTACGCTGCAACAACGAGTCACAAAAGTTAAAAAATACAAGCTACTTAATTTTTCAGTTAAAATGAAAATATTTAATTGTTTGTTTAAATAGTGGAGAACATCTAAATAAACACGAGTCTTGAAGTTAAACCAATCGACAATAAAATGAGTCTGTGTGGTGGAGAATGATGATAAAGTTGTGTAAAACTGAACACGAATTCTTAGGAAAATCAGGACGAATAATATTTTAGTTTGAAAAAATAATGATGCAATAGAATCTATATAACATGGAAATCTACAAAATTTTATCTTTAGTAGAAAAAGAAGTAGCATATAATTATGTTGTCTATGGCAAGTGCGTTTAAATAATGAAAGAGAAAAAAAGACCGGGCTAGTCAAGTAAAACAGAATTTGTGTGTAAATTGACTTTTGTGGAGAGGTAAGTGAAAAAAAAATGATTATTTATTTAAAGTCTTGGCCGTATGCGTATGCTACCTGATCGACTGATACAACGCTGATGCATCTACAAAGCCAACTTTGTTAGTGTTGTTATACCGTTGTTGAAGTTTAGTTCTCCGATGGTTTGAAACAATGATGCCTTTTTTCAACAGCTTTATATGGATTAATAAAATAAATTTATTTGTTTGAGGAAAATTGTAATCTTACTTATATATAATTTATCTAACTTAATATATAAACTACCTTCGAGTTGAAGTGCCTTTGAAATAAAAGTTTGAAAAATGGTGCAATTCATTTTTAAAATACTTTAGGAAAAACTATCATTAAAATCTAACCAATAAAAACACATAATATTAAAGACCAAAAAATTGTTTATAAGATCTTGTTGGAAATAACTTTTGCCTTCCTTATGATATTATATATTTAAGATATATTTTTCACTTGTATTAAAATATTTGTTATGGTTATTGTAATGATTGTGGTGATAATTTTGATTGTGTGGTAATTGTTTTAAGCATGTGTGTGTGTGTGTGTGTGTGTGTGTGTGGTGTGTGTGTGGTGTGTGTATGTGTGTGTGTTGTGTGGCGTGTTTGCAGTAGAGGCATTTTTAGGGTGTTAATGATAACGAATGAGCGGTAATTTTTTATTTTGTCAGCTGTTTTAAAGGTTATTGAGTGGATATTATTAACTTTTGATTTTTATACAGCTTTGTATCGAGAGAGACAACACATTTTGGGGTCCCTGCCGACTTCCCAACCTGACCACTCCGCCATTAGTTTGTGTTGATATAATTTTTTGTAAAAAGATTCATCCGATGCCCAGGTCACCAGCCCTTCCTGAAAAAAAATTATGGCTACGGTCATGATCGGGAATTTTCTTTTTCATTACCTAAATAATTATTCGATAATTTTAAAATGCTCGAAAATGCCCAATAGTTTCTTGCATATATATCAATTAGTTAATATATAAGCAATGATATATATAATAATTAATTAATATATATATCCAAGAATATATAATAATTAATATTTTAATATGTTTCAGGTTTCTGTTAATTTATCCCTCGATGTAAGATTATTTCTTTATGTTAAAGTTTGTTGATAATAATGTTGTACCCATGTATATCTCATTTTGTTGAACGTAGACATTATTATTTATTGTTAAATCTCAGTGAATAACCCATGAAACTTGATGAAAACCAATTTTATTAACACGTGTTCTGCTACGATAGTTAAGTTTGTATCACGCTAACTAACTAGTAACAATTAAACACTCTTACCGCTATTTTTCTTATGAAACTTCAGCTTTTATTTTTAGACATTCTTATTTTTAAAAGCAATAAAATTTTATGTATTTATTTATATAACATATATCTACGATATTATTTGAAATGAAATGATATGATATTTAATTGCTTAT